GTACAAAGATAAAACTCACTTTGAAGTTTACTCAGACATTGTTATATAAAGTGCAGAGAAATCCACGTAAAGGTCCAACAAAATTTCTATGTCACAAGAGTCTGATATGGGCAGCCTTTGCATAGCAAGATGTTTACAAAGTCTAAGAATACCTAAAACGTCTTCTTGGGCTCAGGAAGAGAAAGATGCTGAAGAATCCTCTGTTTCAGAAGGCTGCTTTGATCTAATCCTGTTATCTGCCAAACTGCTTGCAGGAAGCAAATCACCATTTATTCCAACTCTGGGGTAATGCATCGACCCTAGGACACAAGTACATTTGAATCATTAAAATGTTCAACATGCGGTAAATGCACACCAACATGGGCCTCAGGACCCCCCACCCCTGTGTGCCCAAGGAGGACACCCCCCAACCCCTAAAAAAAAAAAAATATACATACAATTTTTTCAGGTGTCTTCCGACTTACTGAGTGACAGTGGGTGGACCTTAACCACTTGCCATTCTGAGGATTTACCCCCCTTAACGACCAGGCCTCTTTTTGCTATTCGGTGCTGCACTATTTCAACCGATAATTGTGCTGTCATGCAATGCTGCAGCCAAACATAATTTCACATTTTTTTTTTTTACACAAATAGAGCTTTCTTTCGGTGGTATTTGATCACCTGTGCGCTTTTTATTTTTCACGCTATTAATAAAAAAAGACTGAAAATTTTTAAGAAAAACTATATTTTTTACTTTTGGCTAAAGCATAACATAAGATTCAGTATAATGCCCCAATTGGACAAATAGAAAGAGAAGGAAGCGGAAAGGAAATGGAAAATGGAAAAGGAAATTAATTCAATTTAGTTATTTATCTCTTTCTGAGAGAAAAACCAGAACATACACAAAACTATTATAATATGCTTGTTTAATGTTTCCATAAAATGAAAGATGAACCTTGATTGTTATTGGCATTAATTCCCATCTTCCTTTCTTTGGTTTTAAATGGGATGTGGAGGGGGATAGAGATCATTGAGAATACAGAGAGAGGGAAAGATATGAGAGCTTACTATCAGAGTCTTCTACTGGACCATCGCTGGCTGCTTCTGTATCAGAGTAAGCACTTCGCCTCCTGTGAGAAGCCCGATGAATTGATAGATGTTCCTTTAAGGAATAGGTATTCCTATAAAATACAATAATAAAATTATCCTTCAATGAATGCTGTGCATTTTATTCTTTTTATTTTCTTTGGGATAATATTTTTCACTTAAAGTAAACCTGCTATTGTTGAGCCAATAACTAACCAGTGGTGAGGGGGTTTGTTTGACTGATCCTTTAAATTAAAATCAGGCATATATATATATATATGTGTCTTTCAAAATACCGTATAATGATTCTTTTAAATAATAAAAGCATCCAGCTTCATAAATTAACTACAAACTGCTTTAAAGCTGAACTCCGAAAAATATATACTTTCCATACTTGGTGTACTGTGCTGGCCCAAGCTTGGTACAGTGTAAGGCTGGCCACACACAGATCCGTTTTTTTTTTTTTGATCAGCCAGGAGGCCAAATGAAAAAAGAACTGAATGGATTTCCCCATCCACACAATCTAGGAGGATGGAGGAATCCTCTACGCTGTGTTATTGTAATCTGACAGCAGGGCCTCTGCTGTCTGAATACACTGATCAGGAAAATGCTCCCAACAAGCCACTTCAAGAGAAGTCGATCAGCAGACCAACTTCTCTGGCATGGTAACGGCCACAGATGGATCAAAATTTATCAAGTCCATGCTGAACCAGCCAATTTTCAATCCATCCATGGTCAGTTTAAGTATGCATATGTTATTCCTGACCAGTCTTAATGGAAGCTGTAAATCACTTTAGTAGCTTGAGCTCTTCTAGGTGCTGTGCTGAGCAGCTTCCCTCATACACATTGGCCAAGAGGGGTTGCTCACTCAGTGTGGCCATCATTAAGAGAACAGTTTGCATTCTTCTCAATGTATGCAAAGTGTTCTTTGGTTGGAAGAGGGAGAAAGGAGTAGTGGTGATGTCACAAACTCCTCCTCATCCATTTAGAGATTGCTTTGTATTCAATGAGAAAGATGCAAGGCATTCTCTAAATAGCAGCCATGCAGAGCAAGCAAACCCCTGTGGTTACTATGCAGAATGGCATCTGCTCAGCACAGTACCTGGAAGACCATGTCCATTATTGTAGTAGCTGAGGCTACTATAGTAGCTTACAGCTTCCACAGAGGCAGATCAGGTGTCACATATGCATCCTTACATTGGTCCATGCTAGAGTTCAGCTTTAAAAATGATAAATTAAGATTTCAAACACGTAACAGCTCAGATGTAGTAAACCTTTAAAGTGGTTGTAAAGGCTGAAGGTTTTTACATTCATGCATTTTATGCATAAAGGTAAAAAACCTGTGTGCTGCTCCCCACCCCCAAATACTTACTGGAGCCCAATCTCGACCCAGCACTGTGCATGGGAGTAGAAACTATCCCAGGTCTCTCTCTCCTTACTGGCTGAGACACATCAGCACAATAGCCATCGGCTCCCACTGCTGTCAATCATAGCCAGTGATGAGAGAGCGGGGGGAGGGGGCAGTTCTGAGCCGCACTTTGTCGTAATGACAGGGCCAGGAGCGCCAGCAGAGGACCATAGAAGAGGAGGATCAAGGCTACTTTGTGCAAAACCCCTAAACAGAGCAGGCAAGTATAACATTTTTTTATTGAGACTTTAGTATCACCTTAAATTTGTGAAAAACATATGGAAAGCACATGCTTGCCATTTTGGGAACATTCCCTACTAAATGCTTATAGTCCACACATCACATGGATAGCAGGGCAAATAAAAAAAATTAAGGCCCCCAACATACTATGTCATTCCACTGTACTCTACAGCTTACAAGTTAGTGTGTATTACATTAAGGCAGCCATTTCATCAGGAGTCACTGACAATGCATGGCATCGTTTTTCATGCATGCTTCAATGAGTTTTATACACTTTGCAGATTCCTGCACAAAATAATCTACATGTGATACTAGTGTTGTGGTGTGAACAGGGCACATAGAAAAATTGTTTCATTTCAGCTTGATCGTAGTAGGGTTTAAACACAACTCTGGATAACTGCAGACCAAGGTAATTAAAATGGGAATTAGACCCTTCAACATGTCCTAACTTAGCAGGAACAAAACACTCTAAACTTGATCATCCATCTGCCTCTTAAACTTATTCAATGAACATGGGCAGCACAGTTGTTAAATGGTTAGCACTTCCACTTGGCAGTACTTGGGTCGTTGGTTCGAATCTCAACCATGGCACCACCTGCCTGGAGTTGCATGTTCTCCCTGTGCCTGCGTGGGTTTCCTCTAGGTCAGGCATGTCCAAAGTCCGGCCCGCGGGCCATTTACGACCCGGGGGTCGGTTTAATACGGCCCTCCAACAGCCCTCCCTGCTCTGTGTAATGTGGCCCTCCCACGGCCCTCCCTTCTATGGCAGACAGTCTTCTGCTTGAGAGCAGAGGGCAGTGCGCATGCCTGACTGCGGCGCGTTCTCCCTGGTCTGTGTAAATGCGGCTGTCGCACGGCCCTCCCTTCCGTGGCAGACAGTCTTCTGCTTGAGAGCAGTGCGCATGCGTGACTGCGCCGCACTGGGAGCGACAGTGGGTGGTGACGTCAGGGCCGGGCTTCCAGCGTGAAGTGTGTTTCTCTTCCCCTCCCGGCTGCCGAGCAGAGACTTCAGCTCCAGCTACCTTTTTCACCCTTCACATTAGTGCAGGTAAGTTTTTTTTTAATTTATTTTCAATACATTGTGAAAACTCAGCTGTCAGTTGATCTTAATGTTATGAAATGAAAAGTATGTCGTTTGCAATTAACTTTGCATAAAATAATTTATTTGCATTTAATTGTAATCGTTCAAAGAATGTTCGGAAAAATGTTCGGCCCCTCCACCATGTTCACTTCATCCAATCTGGCCCTCTTTGAAAAAAATTGGACACCCCTGCTCTAGGTACTCCGATTTCCTCCCACACTCCAAAGACATGCTGGTAAGTTAATTGGTTCCTGTCTAAATTGGCCCTAGTATGTGTATGTATGAATGTGAGTTAGGGACCTTAGATTGTACACCCCTTGAGGGTTAGGGACTGATGTGAATGTACAATATATATATATATATATATATGTAAAGTGCTGCGTAAATTAACAGCGCTATAAAAGTACCTGAAATAAATAAACTCTTGTGAACGTTTTGCTTATATGCTGGATGAGTGCAATCAGAAAGGCAGACGGATGAGCTGGAACACGGTGCTTTTAACATACCACTGAGGGTCTTATAGGTGGGTCTGTTACCTTTGGTTTCTCTTTGGATTTCCTTTTCCATTTTATTCTTCCTACAGAGTAAGTTATTCATAAAGCATGTAGTGGATGGATCTGTTTTACAACCTTTGCTTAGAGCGAGTTTTATAGATATATTTGGTCTAATTAAATTTAGTATAATGAAATTACAAATTTAAACATCATTTGTAAAGCAGCACTCTCCACCCCTGTCCTATAAAATCTCACATCTTCCCTGAACTCTGTTTCTGTTATGCAATAAGCAGCAGGTAAACAAGTAGTTTGCTGTTTTAAAGCACTGCATATGCCTTCTGTCAAAGTCAAGTCCTCACAGCTCAGAGCCAGTCCAACTCCTCGCTCCCACCTACCATCATCTCCAAGCTGTAGTTAGTTCAGATAACAGAACTGTGGGTAGACAAGAAGGACCTTGTTGGCCTATATACATTTTCATAAAAAAAGCAAGGCAATGATACAGGGTTATTGTCTGGTTCAGGAATAACCCTAATCTGTATATCAAAGGAGCTTGCAATATCTTTCCATGAATTAATATATTTAAAAACACATTTACTTCAGTCTAGAGTTATTCTTTAAGATTCTGGCCCATTTGTGTAGTGTGAATTTTTGAATTTCTAAAACATCCATTTTAACTATGAGTGGCATAGTTGTAGTACATATGGGTTCATACTCACCTATCTGAAGTGTAGGTGCCTGGGTGGCTCATGGATCGCTTCATCTACAAAACAAGATGATGCAATTCAGAAATCTAAAAATTCTAAATATGAAGTTGCACAAAATAATGTGTAACGGTCCCTACTAGCCAATTTAAACCTAGTAAAGCTTTACATGACACCTAACACATTTAAAACTCAGGGTCAGATACATCATTTCAAAGTGCCTCTAGCAAACACATGCATGCGGTTCCATCAGTAGGACAGACGTAATGTATACATGGCTTATAGTTCATGCATTGTGTTGTGCAACTGTGTTTTTCCTGATTTCTTGGAAGTCTCCACTTAGTGCCCCTCCAATGTTTTCCTGAATGCCCACAGATGTGGTTCCCGTTGATTCATACATACGATTGTTCATCTATGGTTCTGTTCACTCTATGATTGGATTTGTATATTTATGGCCAATTCTGGAGTGTACTGTTAACACTCATAATCCCACCCTTCCCATATGTTACGAAATGCAAAGCAACCCAAGAGTAGTCCTAGGCCAGTGATGGCGAACCTTTTTGAGCCCGAGTGCCCAAACTGCAACACAAAACCAACTTTTTTATTTCAAAGTGCCAACACTGGAATTAATCACTTGCCTACCGGGCACTTCTACCCCCTTCCTGCCCAGGACAATTTTCAGCTTTCAGTGCTGTTGCACTTAACAATGACAATTGTGCGGTCATGCACACTGTAACCATATGCAATTTTTATAATTTTTTCACATAAATAGAGCTTTTTTGGTGGTATTTAATCACCACTGGGTGTTTTATTTTTTGCACTATAAAAAAAAAAGAGCAAAAAATTAAAAACATAAAAGGTTTCCTTTGCTTCTATTCTAAAATTTTGCAAACAGGTAATATTTCTTCTTTGATGTGCGTTGGTGAGGCTGCACTGATAGGCAGCACTGATGGGCATTGATGAGGCGGCACAGATAGGTAGCACTGATGAGGCGGCACTGGTGAGCATTGATGAGGAGGCACTGATGATGCACTGATATGCAGGAAATGATGGGCACTGATAAGCGGCACTGACTGATAGCACCAGCTGGAGGCACTGACAGACGGCACTGACCGGCGGCACTGCTGGGCATCATTGATGGGTGGCACTGATGGGCAGCACTAATGAGGTGTCACAGATAGGTGGCACTGATATGCGGCACTGATTGGTGGCACTGATAATGGGTACTGATAGACAGCACTGATAGGTGGCACTGACTGACATCACTGCTGGGCACTGACTGGCGGCACTGCTGGGCACTGACTGGCACAACCGCTGGGCATTGACTGGCAGCACTGCTGGGCTGCACTGATGGGCACTGGTGGTTGGCACTGGTGGGCACAGGTGGGTGGCACTGGTGGGCACAGGTGGGTGGCACAGGTGGGTGGAACTACTGGGCACAGGTAGGTGGCACTTCTGGGCACAGGTGGGCGGCACAGGTGGGCACAGGTGGGTGCATTGCTGGGCACAGGTGGGCGCACTGCTGGGCACAGGTGGGTGAATTGCTGGGCACAGGTGGGCGGAACTTGTGTGTGGCACTGCTGGGCACCGATCATCAGGGCACTGATGATCAGTGACTCTGATGATCGGTGCCGTTCCCTGCTCTGACAACTGCCGGTTTTCAGCAGTACTTTCCTCACGATCTGGCAGCGTGAGGAAAGTGCAGCCGAGAACCGGCATTTGCATTTCCCGGTAATCAGCGTGTCATTGGGCACGGCTGATCACGTGGTAAAAGGCCGCTGTGATTGCCTTTTACCACGTCACGTGATCAGCTGTGTCCGTAGGACACAGCGATCACGGAGATCGCCCGGTGCGCGCCCCCGGGTGTGCGCAGGAGAGCGCGTTCTTCCTCTTCTTCCTGGTGTGCCCACTGAGATGGCTCTGCGTGCCAGCTCTGGCACGCGTGCCATAGGTTCACCATCACTGTCCTAGGCCATATCCAGACTTTATTTTAGTTCACCCCATTGAGAATAAAAATCCTTACCAGTTTTATGAAAATAAATAACTATGTGTAAAATATGTAAAAGGCCACCCAGTAGTTTCTGTAGTCATTCAGTGGTACTGTTCTATGACCTAGGTATTTCTGCTTTACCATTTGTATAGGAGAAGGAGAAACGGCAGACGCCAAGGACTCGTGAGGAGGCAGCTGGTACATTTCTGGTTTGAATTTGGCATTTGCAATCTTGACACATTCTTCAAGTGTGGTGATAAAGGTGTTGCAGGTTGCACTGAGCAATGAAGATGCTTCATTCATATTCTATATGAAATAAGAACACATCACAAATAAGCAGTTACACTATGGCACTAAATACAAATGCCAATGCCAAGAGATATATACCCAGGTATAGACAGAGTTACAGGATCTATGCAGACAATCTGGTTTCAAGTACACAACAGACAGTACAGCTCATACCTCCGCACTGGGCGATGGCCGATTCTCATCTTGACTAACAAATTCCTGGATGGTGTGTACCTGCTGCATGAGCAAGTCACAATACAGCCGCAGCTCTGACATTTTGGTTTTCAGAGATTCATTGGTTTCACTAATTTCTGCAAATGGAAATAAAACTCAATTACAATTGCTGTAAATAAAACAATTATTGAAACTAGGGTATGTATTTAAGAAAAAATCACTTAGCTGCCCTTCAATCAAAACAGCAAGTAAAATTGAATGTTCTCATGTTATATTGTCTACAGACTGAGTATGTGTAAATAGGGAAAAATTGCATTATGGCTGCTAAATGGAGCTAGTTATTAAAAGGATCCAAGTATGCTCCTCACCTCCATCTAATCATTATATAATGAAAATAATATAAATCGCACATTTGATCTGCAGAACATTCCATTTCTCCCCACTCACACAGAATTCATTTACATACAGTTTTGTCAATGAACAAATCAGCTATGCAATTTTTCTAAAATTCACCCCCAAGTAAAAAAAAAAAAAAATTAAAAAGGAAAAGTAACATTTACTGGTACTTTCTTTGGAGTCTTGACTATGTGGTTCCAGAGCTGTTTGCTGTGGGCAAAATCTGCTCCATAATCAACCTGAACCAAGACCCAGTATTAACTTAGGGGATTTAGTTCACTAATGCAGGCCATAGACGGCTCGAAAACCATGCGTTTTTTTCGACCGATAAACGAAAAAAACGGTCGTTCATTAAACCGACGTAACCACCAACGGCTCATGCGCGTATTTTTTCTCATAAGAACGATCGTACGAAATCGGTTGTTTTCCACAAATTTTCCAACATGACCAATAATCCAAAAGTGGAGAAAACACGAAAACCGGCCGACGAATTAACCCACTAACAGTGCGAAAATCGGCCGATTAATCTTTCGGACAAAAAATAGGCTGATTTTCGAACCGTCTATGGCCGGCATTAGGCTGCATTTCAGGGTGAAACCAGTATAAGTACTCACCTTTTGTTTGTTCTTTTGCTGCTCTATTCAACTGCCAACACACAAACAAGAGAGTAGAGTGCACAGGCTCTGGTGGAATACCTTTTATTTCAAGATAAAAATGCACTCACAAGCAAAAATGAATCAGAGTTTATCAGTCACATCTTCCCATCATGGTACTGCACACCAAAATCCTCTCACACCCCCTTGATAGGAGCTCCAGCTTACAGTGTGGATATGACAGCAATTCTGGATTGAATACAGTAGATGCTGTTCTTGATCCCATGCAGGTCAGTCTATTCAACTGCCAGCAGCAAAGAAAGACAGTTCTGTGAAAGCTTTGAGTTGCCACAGGGCCAGTTCACACCAGAACGTGGTGTGGGAATTCCTCATTCTGTGCGCATTTCCCACATTGCGTTCAAAATGCACTGCAGCTGCAATCTGCAGAGGGTGTCAATAATAGGTTAATGACACCCCAAACTCAGATCACAAACAGTGCATTTGCCTACACCAGGCTGCATAGTACAAACATAGTGACACTGCACTACTTGTGGGGGGTGATGAAGATTTTTTTTTTTTACACAGATTGCTTTTACACCCATAAAGGCTGTAAAAGCAATAATTTGAACTTCTCTCTGGAGCATGGGGTGGCTACTTTACTCTAGATCAGCGCTTCTCAACCCGGGGGTCTCGCGACTGCATTCTTTCAGCCATTGAGCAATACTGTGAGAGCTGTGATTGGTCACAGCTTGTCACATGGTATAAGGCTGTTGTGAATAGCCTTGTACCATATGACCTCTGTGATCACTCACAGATTACACTAGTAGTAAGCAATGATGTGAGAAGTGACATCTTGCTTACTACTATTCATGTGATCGCTGATTGGTCAATCAGCGATCACATGATTGGGACCTCACACAGAGGTCTCGTACAGCGATCGGTGTTCCTCTGTGTCCTCCGACACAGCAGGCACCAGATCGCGGTGCCCCGCGCACTCCCAGGGAGCACGCACAGGCAGGGAAGCAGGAGGACATTTATAAATGGCCACCCGCTCCTTCACTGTTCCAGTCCAGCCGTTTATGTACATGGGCCAGCAGGAAGTGGTTAAGAAAGGAAAATTAAACTTTTAGAAAAAAATTCACCTGTGCTTGTGTGAGTAAATACTTATGATGGCGGTTACGACCCCCATAGGCATGCACAGAATCTTCTGTACTGCATTTCTATAGGCAAAAGTATGCTGCAGCTGTGGCCACAGGGGAAGGGGGGGACATAACTACAGCAGTATTATAATCTGTATGGCCGTATGCTAAAAATTAAGGATGTGTAAGAGTCCTATAAAGGAATCTCTGCTTTCCTTGGCAGCCTTAAAAGGGATTCAGGATAATAAATCAACATAAGTGCAAGGGGGCTTGATGTGCTTAGAAGAACACTATCCACTAAGACAGCACGAAGGGTTACTGTAGCCTATGAACCTGCGCTGCTTACCTTTCTCTTTCCTGGTCCGGTTATCAGCCAGACAGGCCTTAGAACTCCCCAACGCTACTAACCACCTCTGCCTCTCTGCAGCATTTACAGCCTTGACATAGAAGTGTTGTTCTCCAGGGATGATAAGCTCCATCCTGGAGTTGTCTGTTGAGTGAACTGAAAAGACAAATTGAAACAATATGATAAAGCACTTCATTCAATAGGAATGCAGATACGTTGTTAAAATGTCAATATTTATTTGCATCTGATTATGAATTGTTCCTGTTAGTCCTGAGAATTAGGCAATAATAGTTATTTCAGTCCATATGCAAAAATAATTAGAAAAAATGCACAGGTCAGGGGAAAGACTGACTAGTTTAATGAAAGATCTGCACATGTACTGCCAGCCAAAGCCAAAATCCTATTATTGCTCTTGCAGCCAACTGCAGAAAATGATCATCAGGCAGTATAGGGAAAAACCAGCACAAAGGGTGGAGCCATCTGAAGAGGCTTTCCAGCAATTAGGAATGCGTCTTACAAATTTACAGGAAAATAATTGTATGCAAGCATAACGAATACGGAGTGAAGCAACTGTCTTGTCTCAGGGTCCTTTAAAGTCAAATCCCCACCCACACTGCAATGGGCTTTATGCTCATAAAGTCATAAAGGGTAGACGAAAAAGGTGTAAGGCCCCATGTACACGGGACACTTCTGAATGATAGAAACTGACTGCTGGAAAACGTAGGTTAAAACCGTCTGTTTAGCAGAGTTTGCATAATGCGTTTATGTGCATTTGTGTTTAGAAGCGTTTTTTAAAGATAAGCACAGGAGAACCTCCTAAATGCCCAGAATGCACTGAAAAGTGATAAATTATTAACTATTTCAGACTGTTTCAGAGAAATACACAGAGTAGAAGCAGAGACAGCAGTATGTGTTGAGATTAGCTTAGATGTGAGTTGCTCATTAACATTTCTTTTGTTTCCAAGAGTAGGAAATGTGTCTGCTGGAGTGAGTCATTAAGGCCACCTGGCAGGGGGTCTTCCTGAGGGATTTGAGGTTTGAATGGGCATTAACATATCTTTTGTTTCCAAGGGTGGGAGAGGTCTCAGGTGGGAATTGTCCATTACCATGTGTGACAAGCTTGGTAGGATTTTAGTGTTTTGTCCATCTGAGCACCTTGAAAACCCTTTACATGCATTTTTCATGATGAAAAAAGGCTCTGGACAGCAACGGGAATTGGAACAGTTAACCACTTGCCTACCAGGCACTTATACCCCCTTATTTACCAGGCCAATTTTCAGCTTTCAGCACTGCCACACTTTGATTGACAATTGCGCGGTCATGCAACATTGTACCCATATGAAATTTTGATCATTTTTTTCTCACAAATAGAGCTTTCTTTTGGTGGTATTTAATCGCCACTGGGCGCTTTACTTTTTGCACTATAAATAAAAAAATTGCAAAAAATTTGAAAAAAAAAAAAAAGTTTATTTGTTTCTATTATAAAATTTTTCAAACAGGTATTTTTTCTCCTTCACTGATGTGCGTTGATGAGGCAGCACTGATGGGCACTGATAGGCGGCACTGATGGGCACTGATAGGCAGCACTAAAGGGCACTGATAGGCAGCACTAATGAGGTGGCACGGATAGGTGGCACTGATAGGCAGCACTAATGAGGTGTCACGGATAGGCGGCACTAATATGCAGCACTGATAGGCGGCACTGATAGGTGACACTGATGATGGGTACTGATAGATGGCACTGACTGGCATCACTGCTGGGCACTGACTGGCGGCACTGACTGGCACAACCGCTGGGCACTGACTGGTGGCACTGACTGGCAGCACTGCTGGGCTGCACTGGTGGATGGCACTGGTAGGCAGCACTGGTGGGTGGGCACAGGTGGGTGGCACTGGTGGGCACAGGTGGGTGGGCACAGGTGGGTGGCACTGCTGGGCACAGGTGGGTGGAACTTCTGGGCACAGGTGTGTGACACTGCAGAGTGGCACAGGTGGGTGCACTGCTGGGCACAGGTGGGTGCACTGCTGGGCACAGGTGGGCGGAGCTAGTGGGTGCACTGCTGGGCACAGGTGGGCGGAACTTGTGTGTGGCACTGCTGGGCACCGATCATCAGGGCACCGATCATCAGTGCCCTCATGATCGGTGCCGATCCCCGCTCTGACAACTGCCGGTTCTCGTCAGTACTTTCCTCACGATCTGACAGCGTGAGGAAAGTGCAGCCGAGAACCGGCACTTGCATTTCCCTGTGATCAGCGTGTCATTGGACACCGCTGATCACGTGGTAAAAGGGCGCTGTGATTGGCCTTTTACCACATCACGTGATCAGCTGTGTCCTTAGGACACAGCGATCACGGAGATCGTCATATGACGTCCACCCAGAACTGGCCGGCCGCAGTGCAGCCGTCATTCGGCTATCTGCGGTCGGCAACTAGTTAAAAAAAAAAATTCAGACGCAAACACTTATAAACTCGATTTGCCATGTTTACAAGCGTTTTGTGTTTGAAACGCTGATAAAATCGACTGCTGAACGCAAGTTTGGTGCATTAAAAAAAAAACGACTGTAAACTCAAATGCCTGTAAACGACTGTACACGTAGATGTGTACATGGACACATAGGAAAACATTAGGGTGAGTTCAGGGGCTGCTGAAAAAAAAACGCTGAACAGCTCCTAAACGTGAGCTTATCAGCTGCAGTGTACATGAGCCCTTACACTTTAAATTCTTCTCTCTGGAAGGGACCTCCATCTTTGTAACTTGTCCTGCAGTTTTCCCTCTAAGGCAGTGTTTTTTCAACCTTTTTTGTGCAAAGGCACACTTTTTTCATGAAAAAAATCACGAGGCACACCACCATTAGAAAATGTTAAAAAAATTTACCTCTGTGCCTATATTGACTATATATAAAGTAATTCTCTTGAATAGGAGGATCAAACACAAAGAAATTATTTTATAATTACTTTATTATGAAATAATAAAGTATTTTATAATTGGACCCACTGGGGCCGGACCAAGAGTAGATGAATGATGTGTATGTGTCATCCATAGTAAGTATAGTAATATTCCCCCATAGTAAGCATAGTAATTAATCCCCCATATAGTAATTCATCCTCCATATAGTAATTTTTCCCCCCCCCATAGTAATTCATCCCTCATATAGTATTTCATCCCCCCATATAGTATTTCATCCCCCCATATAGTATTTCATCCCCCCATATAGTATTTCATCCCTCATATAGTAATTCATCCCTCATATAGTATTTCATCCCTCATATAGTATTTCATCCCTCATATAGTATTTCATCCCCCATATAGTATTTCATCCCCCCATATAGTATTTCATCCCCTCATATAGTATTTCATCCCTCATATAGTATTTCATCCCCCCATATAGTATTTCATCCCTCATACAGTAATTCATCCCTCATATAGTAATTCATCCCCCATATAGTATTTCATCCCTCATATAGTATTTCATCCCCCCATATAGTATTTCATCCCTCATATAGTAATTCATCCCCCCATATAGTATTTCATCCCCCCATATAGTATTTCATCCCCCCATATAGTATTTCATCCCTCATATAGTAATTCATCCCTGATATAGTAATTCATCCCCCATATAGTATTTCATCCCCCCATATAGTATTTCATCCCTCATAAAGTAATTCATCCCTCATATAGTATTTCATCCCCCACAGTACTATTCCCCCCCCCCCCTTCTAGTTTAAAAGGGGTAAGTTTGCACCGATCATCAATACTGAACCAAGTCCCCCGTGTCAATTCACTTACCTTTTGCGTTCCTCTCGCTGTCTTCCCGCGCCGTTCGGGTCTTCAGGGCGGACTGTGAGAGGAGCCTAGCTCCCCTCCCCTCACGTTCGGCACGCTGCCCCGCCTACAAACACATCCTGACAGCCACATCCGCAAGCCGGATTAAAAGGTCCGCGCGGGACTTTTGGGGCTGCCAACCGAGAGGAGGCAGGGGAGGCGGGGCCGACCGAGAGGAGGGGAGGGGAGCAGGCGCCCGGCACACAGAAGAGCCGCATTAGACTGGGTAAAGAGCCGCATGTGGCTCGCGAGCCGCGGCTTGCCGACCACTGAATCATTAGATTCTAATGATTGGTCTATTTGTGAGCCGAAGCCACATGTTACAGATGAAATTGGAATTTTTCCCACGGCACACCAGACAATATCTCACGGCACACTAGTGTGCCGCGGCACAGTGGTTGAAAAACGCTGCTCTAAGGCACTCTAGACTTGAGTTGTACACTTACCTCTTCACATACAATGCAGGACTAATAGCCCTGCATTGTACGTGGCAACACTGAGGGACTGCCCACAGAAGAGAGCACCGAAGCAAGTAATACAGCCTCTTCCTTTACCCCGTAGTGTTAATGAGGATTTAACCCTTGCAGTGCAGGAGAGGGGGCCCACTGCAAGAGGTTTTCTTTTTTATGGAGGAAATGCTTTTTCCTGAGCATTTCACCACACTGGAAAGCACATTAAAATGTGTAAAACCTCAATGAATGGCACTTAGTTTGCTAAACAACTACTATGCATTTTTTTTTATTTTTTTAATAAAAAGTATTAATTTTTTCCCTTTTTTATCCTTTGCAGTGCTGATTCTGCAGCCTTTTCAGCCACTTCCTGCCTACGTCATATACAGTTGGTGACTATAAATTTATACCTGTTGTATTTTGTTGCTATACTCTATAGAATGTTACAGAATAATCAAGAATGACTTACCTTTAATTTCACAGACAGCCATTTTAATACTTCCTTTGCTGCCTTTACAGACATCATCTTGGGAATCATAGTATGAAAGAATACCATTGTCTAAAACAAACCAGCGAGGCTGCCAACCTGAAAACAATCAACAGTTTCATGAGGATTTCCAAAATATGCAAAAGACTAAAATCAAACATTAATGGATGCTATACCACTGTAAAAAATGTGGATTGTTAACCTTTCATTTACCTTCCAACACTGTAAAGGGACAACAAATCAGCATTTACTTTACTGTTAGGGGTTGGGAATAGTTATATCTGTATTTACAATATGCCACTTTAAGCAGACTAGTATATTTAAAGTACATCTGTCAGGAGGCATGAGGAGCCGTTATTATGGACCTCTTTCTGAAAATACTAGACTTTTTTGACCTATCAGCCTTAAAGGGGTAGAGTTGCCTGCACATTACTGAAACATCCTCCAAAGTTTTGCATTTGCTGACAAATTCTGGAACATTCCGGCATGCAAAGCTCCAACACTCTCTGATAGTACTGAAGTTTGCCTACCCCTTCCTGCCTGTATTTCATACATGCAGCATTTTCAATCAATAGAGTCTCTAATATTTTGATTCATTGAAATTAAGAAGTATGCAGATCAGGGTTGTCAGGGAAAAATCAAAAGTTGTCATCAGCAGGATGCCATCTAAGGCAGCTATTTTTGCCATATGCTGGTTACTAAAATGCTGGCATGACACAGGGTGCCACCTGCACCATAACAACCAATGACTCTGCCGCAGGGCCACCTGCACCCCTAGAAACAAAGGAATGCACAGCAGGGGCAGACTGCATCCTAGCAACAAAGGACATTGTGTGGCAGAACGCAGGCGGATGACCCACACTACATCACTGGTTGTCACTGTATAAAGTAGGTGGCCCCGTGGCACAGAGATATTTCGACTTCCCCACAGATGTGGCAGCTTACAGAATAATGTATGCTCTACAGTAGCAGAAATATATGAGGGTGGGTTGAAAAGTTCTCAGTCTCATCACTAGAGAGCAGAACAATACACATAATTTTGAATAGGGAAAGTATCCAGTGTTTATGTGGTTTCACTGTAATATATGCGTTATTTAACCACTTGCCTTCTAGAGGATTTACCCCCCTTCCTGACCAGGCCATTTTTTTCGATACGGCGCTGCATTTTATTTAACTGACAATTGTGCAATCGTGCAACGCTGCATCCAAAAGAAATTTATGTCCTTTTTTTCCACACAAATAGAGCTTTCTTTCTATGGTATTTGATCGGCTCTGCGGTTTTTATTTTTTGCGCTTTAAACAAAAAAAGACCGACAATTAAAAAAAAAAAAAAAAAACATCCAGTAAAAAAATTGTAAAAAATCCAAATTTCGGCATAAATTTAGGCCAAAATGTATTCTGCTACGTCTTTACAAAAAAATAAATCCCAATAAATGTAAATGAATTGGTTTACATGAAAGTTATAGCATCTACGAATGGAGGTATATATCCTGGAATTTAAATTTTTTTTTTTTTTTTTTTTTATACTAGTAATGGTGGCGATCAGTGACTTATAGCGGGACTGCGGCCGGCATTCAGACACTGGGGGGGAACTGACTAACTGCCATTGACATCCCCATTGACACTAATACAGTGATCATTGGTAATAAAAAGCACTGACAATGTACTAATGGCATTGGGCAGGAAGAAGTTAACATCTGAGGTGATCAAAGGGTTAACTGTGTGCTGTTTTACTATGTGTGCTGTGTGTGTTTTACTAGGGAAACATAATGCTTTGTACTCCACGTCTATGCAGAGCAATATAAAGCAGCATGTCGATGCTGACAGGGGAGAGATCTGTGTTATTTATACACAGACCTCTCCCCATTCACTGTTCTCAGCGGTCGCAGGGTACCGGCAGGGAAACTCCAGCCGGGACCGAGTGATCGACAGTTGTAGCCGCCAATGGCGGCACGGGTAGGGTGGTGCACGCCCCCTACCCCGAAATGCAAAATCACATATATTTATATATATATATATATATATATATATATATATATATAAATATACGTGATTTTGCGCAGCCCTGCCACCCTGTAGCAGTAGTTCTGCTATAGGGTGGAGGGGAACCGGTTAGGCAACATGAAGTTTGCAGGATCAGCTTGAAAATGGACTAGCAAGTCAGATGATGTCTAGAAATGCACACATTGTTGATCATCTGTGGTGTGTAGGGTGTTCCTGCAGCAGCATAAAGAGCACACAAATCACAATGAAACCACACATACAATGGAGTCTTTACTGACTTTCCCTATTACAAAATTATGGGGATTGTTCTTCCCTCTGGTGATGAGGCCAAGAACTTTTCAATCCACCCTTGTATTATTCCATCAATATATAAAAAATAGTATATTTTTGGAAGGTGCCAATATGTACACTGTCCCACTTGCCAGAAATCTCCAGTAATAGCAGAACATTTTATCACAGTAGCCACGCTGCTTGCTTTATTTTCTGAACTTAAGAAGACAACTTTCTACAAGCAACAGGTACCTGTACTCACATACGTCTTTGTAACAGAGATTAACCATGGCACTTATGCATATATAGAACTTGACTGGCCTGCACAGAGTCCTGGCCTCAACCCGACAGAACACCTTTGGGATGAATTGAGTGGAGACTATACTTCCTTCTCGTCCGACATCAGTGCCTGACCTCACAAATGGGCTTCTGGAAGAATGGTCAAAGATTCCCATAGACACACTCCTAAACCTTGTGGACAGCCTTCCCAGAAGAAATAGAAGATATCAATGAACGCTCAGGAAAAAAGAAAAATTAAGCTGCTAGCACCAAAAGACTGCCCTTTGTGTCCACAGTAATAATAAATGTAGAAAAGGTGCAGCGCTTACAATATGCTAACCTTCCAAACTTATATGTAAATGATATAATGAACATATATCTGGGTGACATAAAAAGTGAATATGCGCCAATAACTAAAATAATCACAGTGAGGCGCCCGGGTCGGTGCTATGGTGATGTGTGTGTGTGTGTATATATATATATATATATATACACATATATACACACACACACACACATACATATACACACATACATACATATACACACACACACACAAACAGTTGCACTGAGGCACTATAATGCAATAATTATAGTGAACACAGTGTGGCACACAAAAAGCAATATATGATAAAGTCCAATAATGAATGAATCCGTAAGAAATTAGTGACTTCCAGTGATAAGTGAATCCATGAGAATGACTCTCTTTATATGCAATCACCAGAAGCGCATATAAAATGCACATGTACAGCAAAATGGCACACTCCTCCACAAGCAGGTCAGGCTATGTTCCCATCAAACACAAAACCATGGAAGCTAAGTTGTAGCAGATTGGAGGGGTATCCTCAGCACAGCAATTGATCCTCAAGGTGGAAAAAGACAGGGATCCTGAAAAAACCAGCTCACAAAAAAAGCCCAATAAGAAACGGCTAATGGTTGTAGTACTTTATTTCAAGATTTTAAATATCCATGTGGAGTAAGCAAACAGAAACAGTGTAAAGCCACTCACAAAGATGGCCGCCGGACCATCATACGGCCACAGCGGCGTGACGTCAGTACACAGCCTCCTCACTGACGCGTTTCGCGTTTTCAAAGGGATCCACCTACTCACTGACGCCATTGACAAGCCTATATATAAGCTCCCGATGCATACTTGCGATTGGGAGCTTTACGATCATGTGACCGCCAAATCACAGTAGTCACAAGACATAAATGCACAGCTTCACCTCCCGGCTTTCAGAAACCTTAAAGGGCCAGGAGGGGGTCACAGTGCCAAGGGGTTAAAATAATGTATATTTAAAATTTGAAACAAAATCTGTCCTGCGACCAAAGTTCGAAATCTGATACAGTGAAGCAAAATTAAGCACCCCAAGGTGCCTGTACACACTGTGTTCTAGCAAAACACCCCAGTAACTCGTAAGACAGAGCTCTAACATGCAAATGTCAATCTATGTAGTCGAAGTCAATACTACCTACTGCCTTCTGTGCATGCTGTGGGCCAGTAAAGCTGTCTATAACATTGATCGGACAACCAGGAGCTATGGTCAAGTTATCATTTGTATATTTAAGCATCCAAGGTTTAGACCAAGGGTGCTAATCTTTCAAAGAGCAAGGGCCACTTAAGTCATTTGTAACAGGTTAATGAAAGTATATTCAATTAAATGGATCAGAATAGTTTTTTTAATCTGAATAGCATAATGAACATTTTCCTCCTGCGCCGCTGAATGCCAGCAGGATGGAGAGGAGGAGAAGCATGCTTTTAGCGGTTGCTGGAGGAAAATTGAGAGGATCGGTTCCTATATATGCCACCCCTCCTGTCCACATGCAAAATAGAATGTGACATGGAGGTCGCACGGGCCCCCTGGAGCATGGGGTGGGGGTCACCATTGCGACCCATGACACGAAACGCCTCAACTATGGGGTTTTTCCACCCCCAAACCAAAAATGTAAACAAGCCCTTACTGCCATGAGCCCCCTATAAGGCTACTTTCAAACTGATGTGTTGCAGTGCACCTGCGACTTTCCTGCGGGTTGGCTGCACTTTACCCTAGACTTCTATTATACCTTGTGGGTGTGGTCCACATTCTGAAAGAGCAACAAAACTCCTGCATTCAGTTTTTTTTTTTGCACATCATCTTTAAGGGCTTGTTCACACCAGCAGGCAAAGGCACTTCCTTCTGCATATGCACACAGGAACCATTTATTCCTAATAGTGTGAATGAGCCCTAAAGTGTAACGCCACTTTTGTATAACAAAAAAAAAAAACAAAAAGATCCCCTCTGGGTGATCAATGTATATTGCAGGGATTTTACCAGAGTTTGTTGCAGTTTCTGAAGGAATAGCTCTTTTCTTTGATTATGTCAATATGTAAAGTGAATCTGAATGGGAGTTTTTCATTATCAATCAGCTGATGCAGATGCAGTGTTCTACAGAGTAAAGTTGCAGTGTCTGAATACGTTTAGCCCTAGTCCACATATATGCGGCCGTACGGGCCACGTTTTGTGTGGGCACAAGAGTCCATTCATTTGAATGGACTCCCGTGCCACGCAGGGA